AGAAACCAGCTACTCTGTAAAAAATGCAGCTACTGTGTTGAAAGCAGCAATTGGAGGTAAAACGACACTCATGAATTATAATTTGGGTAAATAATTTTATGGTTGGGGGTCACCACAACATGAGGAACTGTTAAAAGGGTCACGGCATTAGGAAGGTTGAGAACCACTGATTTAGATCCACCTTAACGCTTGCTACCAGTTTTCAGATAGATTACCCTCGAGTACATCTTGAGAACCGTACCCTGCCCCCGAAGCAACAGGGACAACCTGTGTTATTTGCTTTAACCGCTTGACCTCCGGAAGATTTACCCCCCTTCATGACCAGGCCATTTTTTGCTATACAGCACTGTGTTACTTTAACTGACAATTGTGCAGTCATGCAACGCTGTACATAAATTACATTTATGTAATTTTTTCTCACAAATAGAGATTTCTTTTGATGGTATTTGATCACCTCTGGGGTTTTTTTTTTTTTTGCGCTATAAACAAAAAAAGTTGGACAATTTTGATTAAAAAAAACTATATTTTTTACTTTCTGCTACAAAACATCCAATAAAAAAAAAAAAAAAAAAAAATTTCTTCATAAATTTAGGACAAAATGTATTCAGCTTCATGATTTTGGTAAAAAATCCCAATAAGCTTATATTGATTGGTTTGCGTAAAAAGTTATAGCGTCTGCAAAACTATGGTGTATATATACTGGAATTTTTTTTTCTTTTTATACTAGTAATGGCAGCCAACAGCAACTTATAGCAGGGCTGCAATATTTCAGCAGGCAGTCTGACACTTTGTGGGAAGCAGTGACACTAATACAGTGATCAGTGCTAAAACTTGACACTGTCACTGCAAAATGACACTGGCTGGGAAGGAGTTAAACATCTAGGGCAATTAAAGGGTTAATTGTGTGCCTAATCAGTGTTTTTTGTTTTACTTTCAGGTACTTTTACTAAGGGATGTGCTGGATTTTATTCCCTGCTTTGCAAGAAAACAAAATACAGCACATCCCCTCTGACAGGGCTGAGCTCAGGATTGTTTTTTAATTGTTGTGCGTGTGTCTGTGTATATGTGTGTATGTGTGTGTATGTGTATATGTATGTATATATATATATATATATATATATATACGATCAGCGGCTGTGCCCTACCCAGAAGTGCAGTGTATATATATATATACAATTCTGCACAGAGCGGCTGCCCTGTATTATTATTATACAGAGTATATAGCGCCAAAGGGTTTGCTCAGCGCTTCACAATAGCAAGGTGGACAGAACATGGGACAAGACAGAAACAATACAATACACGAGGGGTTCGAGGGTAGCAGTAAAGCCGCTATAGAGCAGTCGGCAACTGGTTAAGCACTGGATCCTGCACTCACCTTGACACATGGTGGAGTGAGATAGCCACAGGGTGCTATACAAGTTCAGTGTTGTCATCAATTCTTATGGCACCCAGACCCTAATCTTGGACAGCACCAGCAGTATGGACAAGGTGAGAAATGGTTTTCCTGTACCCTTTTTGTACCAGTTCCTGGCTTTACATGTCTTGATGGCTTTGTAGCATATACTACATCCTTCTCCAACAGTGCCATGCACATGGCAGAGACGTGGGGAGGTGTACATCCTTGTGTGGAGATTTACATCCTTGTGTGGAGCCACCACCTCTAATTCCATTCTTGTTTCTCCCAGTTTGCAAGGTGGCTGTTTGAGCTTCCACTGCATTTTGCTGTGGATGTAGGGTGTTTCTGCTGCTATTTGTTCAGATCTGTTGTCCCTTCTTTTTTTTCTTCCTGTGTGTGTTGCTGCTGTTTAGCTGGTTTGTTGATCTCCCCTTGATTATTGCTTTGAGATGTCTCATAGTTAATGAACTGATTCCTGCGTTCTGTTCTGTACGATAAAAATAATAGGAATTTTGAAAATTCCATATATTGGAGTACAGTACATTAACGGGACCTCCCTTTTTTTTCTCTGGGATCTCTTTGTTGCTTGATTGAAAAAAGATTGGAGTCACACAGAGTGGGCGGTTTATATGGGTATACTAGTGGGTGGACCCAGCAAAGTTTTTGCCAGTGTCCAAATATCTGAAGGCCTATAACCCATGGTCTATGAATCAATTACTGTGTTTTGTATTATACAAAATATGGAATTTACAGGTACAACAAAATTCCTAATTTTTCATTTAAAGTAGATCCAAACCCAGCTGGACAACTTTTCATTTTCTAAAGCAATGCGTGTCATAAACAATTGCCAGGGTTTATTTTTTTCTTCCTTTTTTTACTGCAGTGCTACTGATCTCCTCCAACTTCTTGATGGTGACTAGGGATGATCTCAGGCGTGTTCGTATCCTAGTCCAAATCCACATGGGCAAGCCCACTGGGAAGATTGCACTGTACTGGATCCAGTCATAAGCAGCCAAGGCATGCCCAGCCCCAGAACTGCATGAACACATGTCCATTGTATACATGTGACTGTGGGGTGTGTAATGCTCCAGCCGGATATGATTGGCCCAGTACAGGTGACAGCTTCCTGCTGTGCTTGCTCAGGTGGGATTCAAACTAGGATTCAAACACACCTGAACTCATCACTAATGGGGACAACAGCATATCTGTGCAATGTGTTGTCAAAGCTCTACTTGACCATTTTTTTCTATTTTCACCCTGCATGGGCACTTCCTGTCTTAGACTGACAACGCTGCACAATGACTCCCTATGTAGAATCAGTGTTGTCACTGTAGGACTGCTCACAGCACAATAGCATGTTTAGTTGCCATAGAATCAGAACAGGAAAATCATTACGGGCGTGAGCCCCTGGATAACTGTCACTAAATATATACAAAAACAAATATAACGTATGTAAAAGTGAGACAACAATAAAAAATATATTTATAATTGCAGAAAATCAAAACACTTCTTAGAGTCCATTATAAAAAAAAAAAAAAAACCTTGGTTTTCGTATCCCCTAGGACGGGTGTCGGCAACCCGCGGCTCCAGAGCCGCATGCGGCTCTTTTTCATCTTTGCTGCGGCTCCGGAGCACACTGCCCACCAGGTGACAGGCAATAGGGTTTCAGTGGTCGGCAAGCCGCGGATCGCAAGCCACATGCGGCTCTTATGTGTGCCGGGCGCCCGCTCCCCTCCCTCCTCTCGGGCGGCCGCCTCAAAAGTCAGGACTCTTTTAATCCGGCCCGCGGAGCGTGGAACATTAGCTGTCAGGATGTAGGCGGGGCAGCCAGGATGTAGGCGGGGCAGCGTGACGAACTCCTCTCACAGTCCGCCCTGAAGACCGGAACACAGCGCGGGAACACAGCGAGAGGAACGCGCGGAGCAAAGGTAAGTGAATTGAGACAATATGGGGAATTAATTACTATAGGGGGGATGAATTACTATGGGGGATGAATTATTATATGGAGGATTAATTACTATGGAGGATTAATTACTATGGAGGATGAATTACTATGGAGGATGAATTACTATATGGAGGATGAATTACTATATGGAGGATGAATTACTATATGGGGGATGAATTACTATGGAGGATGAATTACTATATGGGGGATGAATTACTATGGGGGATGAATTACTATGGGGGATGAATTACTATAGGGGGGATGAATTACTATATGGGGGATGAATTACTATGGGGGATGAATTACTATATGGGGGATGAAGCTAACTGCACGATCCTGTATATAGCATTAAGGTAAGAAACAATATATGCAGTGTCGGATTTGTTTTAAATGTTGCAATGGTTTTGCGGCTCCCAGTCTTTTTTTTCCCTTCGGAAACAGGTCCAAGTGGCTCTTTATGTCTTAAAAGTTGCAGACCCCTGCCCTAGGACTTATATTAGTGTTAGTACTGCTGCCCACACCTTTCCCACAAGTGTATAGCTCCAAAAAAAAATGATGTATAGTCAGTGCCACGCAGTAAAAATATTATCAGTATAATCATATCTTATACCATAATTAAACTCATCAACAGATAACACACAATTCCATGTAATAAAATAATCAAAACTTAAATACAAGTTAAAATGAAAAAGTCCCAAATGTCCATGCGTTCTTGCAAGAACGTGAATTCGTGTTACTGTATATCTTTCAGCTGTGTCAACTATTTTCCTTCCATTGCGTTTATAATCCTCCAAATTATTTCACCACGTGCATAAACTATATTGCCAAAAGTATTGCTCTGCCTGCCTTTACACGCATGAACTTTAATGACATCCCAGTCCTAGACTGTAGGGTTCAATAATGAGTTGGCCCCGCCCTTTGCAGCTATAACAGCTTCAATTCTTCTGGGAAGGCTGTCCACAAGGTTTAGGAGGGTGTCTATGGGAAGGTTTGACCACCCTTACAGAAGTGCATTTGTGAGGTCAGGCACTGATGTTGGACGAGAAGGCCTGGCTCGCTCTAAATCATCCCAAAGGTGTTCTATGGGGTTGAGGTCAGGACTCTGTGCAGGCCAGTCAAGTTCCTCCACCCCAAACTCACTCATCCATGTCTTTATGGACCTTGCTTTGTGCACTGGTGTGCAGTCATGTTGGAACAGGAAGGGACCATCCCCCCAACTGTTCTCACAAAGTTGGGAGCATGAAATTGTCCAAAATGTCTTGGTATGCTGACGCCTTCAGAGTTCCCTTCACTGGAACTAGGGGGCCAAGCCCAACCCCTGAGAAACAAGCCCACACCATAATCTCCCCTCCATCAAACTTTACTCTTGGCACAGTGCAGTCAGGCAAGTACCGTTCTCCTGGCAACTGCCAAATCAAGACATGTCCATCGGATTACCAGACAGAGAAGTGTGATTGGTCACTCCAGAGAACACATCTCCACTGCTCTAGAGACCGGTGGCCGCATACTTTACACTACTGCATTCGATGCTTTGCATTGCATTTGGTGATGTAAGGCTTGGATGCAGCTGCTCGACCATGGATATCTATTCCATGAAGCTCTCTACACACTGTTGTGCTAATCTGAAGGCCACACGAAGTTAGGAGGTCTTTAGCTATTGACAGTTGGCGACTTCTGCGCACTGTGCGCTTCAGCATGCGCTGACCCCGCTCTGTCATTTTCTGTTGCATACCACTTCACGACTGAGTTGCTGTTGCTCCCAGTTTCTTCCATTTTGTTATAATACTGCTGACAGTTGAGCGTGGAATATTTAGTAGCAAGGGAATTTCACAGATGGACTTATTGCACAGGTGACAACCTATCACGGTACCACGCTTGAATTCACTGAGCTCCTGAGAGCGACCCATTCTTTCACAAATGTTTGTAGAAGCAGTCTGCATGCCTAGGTGCTTGATGTTATACACCTGTGGCCATGGAGGTGATTGGAACAGCTGAATCATATGATTTGGAGGACTGGCCCAATACTTTTGCCAATATATTGATATCCCTTCACCAACGTTCATATACTCTCACCTCAGAGATCTCACAAGTAGGTCTCATGCGCCTGCCCCTTTAAGTGGGGGTCTCCATTACCACATTTGTCATGCTTTTCTCCAGCTCACTGATGCTTGTTAATCCATCTCCATCCTCCGTAATTCTTAAGTGTATGTTGGTTGTAAAACACTCAAAATTAAGAATACATAGTGCTCTCTGTATAAAATACAATATATATATATATATATTTTTTTTTTTTTTAAACATTTCTGTATTCAACTTTTTATGTGTACATTACAAGGTGCACAGCGGTATACAGGCATATATTAATATAACCATTCAACAAAATGGCCGACCGCACACTCCTGCTTTTGCGGCGTGACATTATCAGCTCCATCCAACGTGTTGCGTCATAGATCACATAACTTCATTAGGGAAATCTATGGTAAAATGTAATTATGGTATTAGGTATGATTTATAATATTTTTACTGCGTGATACTGATTATACATAATAATATGTTTAGTTGGCAGGCCTTTCCTGCGCTGCCCAACCAGCATTGTTGTGCTTACTACCAACTTTGGCAGTGTGAGGCAGTATGGGACATTTAGTACTGAGCCAGCTGCCTGTATCGGTGTCTGAGATTGCACAAGTGGCTAAGGTGCTCATTCACAAAACAAAAGTGCAGTAGATCCGCTTTGCACACAAATGCCCTCGGCCTGCAAAGATCTTATAAAGTAGGTTTACTTTTTTTTTTTAGACATTAGAAGTCCAGCCACCTGCCACATCCCTCTTGTGCTGATGTGGAAGATGAACATCCCAAGAAGAGTTTCAATACACTTCAGTAAATTTTTCTGTATTTATAAAGAGTATGAAGTTAAAAAACTTTATAACACTGGCCACTCAGAAGAAGGAGAATCCGTTTCATCTATTGTTCATTCACAGCACATTATCCTAGTCTATTTATATGCCTACAAAAATATTCACACCCTGTAGATTAAAACTGTAAAATATTGGTGCATCTTAAGCTACTTCCGCCTGGCAGTAATAGGGTCGTGGGTTTGAATCCCAACCACGGCACCACCTGCCTGGAGTTTGCATGTGTTCTCCCTGTGCCTGCGTGGGTTTCCTCCGGGTACTCCGGGTACTCCGGTTTCCTCCCACACCCCAAAGACATGCTGGTAGGTGAATTGGCTCCTGTCTAAATTGGCCCTAGTATGTGTATGTACGAATGTAAGTTAGGGACCTTAGATTGTACGCCCCTTGAGGGTTAGGGACTGATGTGAATATATAATATATATGTAACGCTCTGCGTAAATGGACGGAGCTATATAAGTACCTGAAATAAATAATAAATAAAAATAGGCTGGCCATACATTATACAATTTTCTTATTCATTTTTCCTTTAGGTTTAACTACAAAGTGTAAGTGCCTGCCTGATTGCATACAAATTGTAAGTGTTTAGCTTTGACCTCATATTCTATGGGATTTGGTAAACCTAAAAGAAAATTGTATAATGTATGGCCAGCCTTTTGCCTCCTCCTAAAACATGTTGTGCTATGCTGTTTATAATGTACAATGCCACCCTGATAAGAGACCTGAGCTATCTGGAAATCATGCAGTTTTCAATCTACTCCATGAATGGTGTCCATTAACACCACAATTCCCTGATTCCGTAAGTGCATAATACAGTCCAAACACTCAGGAATTTTTTCAGTGGGAAACGTAGTTCCAGCACCTCCAGCATTGAATGTTTGTAATGGCAAGGGGTGCTGGGGTGTGCTGAAGGGTCTATTGATGCTGATTGCTAGGGGATCTATTGTCACTGGAGAGGATCTATTTTTGCATCGTGGTCTACTGTTGCTGGGGAGGTCTATTGTTGCTGGAGAGGGATCTGCTGTTGCTGGGAGCTCAATGGTTGCCGGAAGGGATATAATTTTGAGTAAGGGGTCTATTGTTGCTTGCTGATGGAAGATCTCTTGTTGCTGCTTGGAGTCCATTATTGCAGGGGGGAAAAATGTCACCTGCACACCGAGGATCACCAACATGTGTCACATGCCTGATGAAGGGGTCCTGCGAGACTCCGAAACGTTGCCTTGCTGCAACTATGTGATCGTTCATTAACACCTTTCGACCCATATTGGTGATCCTCGGTGTGCTGGTGACATTTTTCCTTGCTGATTTTGTTCGGTTCCAGCCGACGGTCGCTGCAGCACCCACTTATACACACAGCCATTTTTAACGCAGGAACGTGTGCGTTTGGATTGTACACTTGCATTATTGCAGGGGGGCGCAATTGTTGCCTGCTGCAGTGGATTTATTTTACTGCTTTTCTTGTCATCATGAACAAATTCCATACAAAATGATACTTGGCTCTGTATTCTCTAAAAGGAGCGGTACTGGGAGGTGGGTAGGAGGTGGAACCAAAGGACGGTGCTTGGAAGGTGAGTAGGAGGGCAGTAGGAGGGTAAGTCAGATGGGGGGGGGTTCCTGCACCTATATTCTGAGGGGGAAAAAAGCCCTGCTGACACCGCTGCAATTCATTTGACACATATAAGAAACATAATTTTGCATTATAGAAGCATGAAGGTTTATCTGTTTTTCTAATATATTTATTTTCATCAGGTTGCGCTTGGTAAAGAGACAGAGAAAGAGAAGTCACAGCAAGAGAGCAAAGAAGATGACTTGGCTTACAGCACATCTTTATCACGGCACAGGACCACAGTGCAAAGTAAACACCTCCTTCTCTACTTTACAATGTAAAATACTGAAAGTGTTTTTGAGCTTGTATTAACATTTATAATTCTGAGAAAAATAATATGCATAGAGTTGCATTGATCAGGCTCGCAGCGAGTTTAGATGATCAGCAAGGCGCTGAATTTATGTAGTACTGCTAAACGGGAAACTGAGCCTTTTTTTTGTGTAATAAACAAATATGGCTGCCTTCATGTTTATATACTGTATAAAAAAAATAACATGCGTGCATGAATAAACAAGCTCCATGCTTTCATTTCTCTTTTTTTTCTGCTCTTTCTCGCTCACTCTCCGTAGATAGATATTTAAGTGCTTCCTCTTATTCTTTGGACAATGGATGCCAAGTAAAACATTTCTCCTCTCTAGGACTGTCCTATACTACTGTCAATACCTGGCAGCCCCTAAGAACTAAAGGCTAAACTTTTTATCTCATTTTGAATAAAGTAAGGGAGTGTTTTAACTCCTGTCAGTTTTTTGTGCTACCTGTGTCCCATTGAGATTTTCCTTCACTTTCTATCCCATTGCCAAAACAGGAAGTGAGAGAAATCTTTCCAAAGTGAGGACTGGTTGTCACCAAAACGAGTGTTTCCATTGGTAGATTTCTCCATCTTTATTTTTCTGGAGACAACCCAAAATTTGGGATTTTCTTCCACTTTCAGTGATTATGGTAGACATGACAAATAGAGAGAGAATCTCCCCAGCGGGGGCGCAGACAACAGTAAAAACCTGACAGGGGTTCTAATCCTTCTCCTCACTATCCAAGACTTAAAGTATAACTAAGGACAAAACATTTTCTTTTTTTTTTTAAACTTTGCAAGGAATAATTCTGTTTAGAAAATAGCAGGACCTATAAGTGGAAAGAAAACTGACCAGAAGCATTGAGCTGACAGCAGGGGCGGACTGACAACTCATAGGGCCCCCGGGCAATAGGGGATCATGGGGCCCTGTGTCCTTGCCCAAACTCAAACAAGCCTATGAAAAAGGTACCAGGGGCATCTCATGGGGCCCCCTACTGACCCTGGGCCCTCGGGCAGTGCCCGAGTTTCCAAATGGTCAGTCCACCCCTGGCTAGCAGTAATGCTGTATCCCTTGTAGAGTCTTCATAGAACTGTATCTGGGAAAGGTCAGCATAGAATGAACACATTAAACTTGCTTCCCATTGTCCTTTCCATAGATATTTCTTGGAGTTCTTTAACATTGGGAAAATTTCCAAGTCTTTTGTCACTTGCTATTTTACTTTTCTGCAGCTCTGCAGGGCAATCTGAGCACACTGCTGGAGAAGTTTGTAGAACAATACAAACAGATGGCAGATATATCCTCGTATATAGGAAAGGTAAGCTCTTTTATTTATATACGTGGTTAGTATGTTGAATCAATTGTCTTTGTCATGATCACGCAAATTTGTAATGTAACTCTTTATTATTGGTGTAGTAGCCACATTTTTTGTTGCAATGACCCTGTTCATCAGTCAAATATGTATAAGAAGGGATAAGGGGGTGGATTCAGCTTCAGCCTCGACTCTTCAGCCAAAATAGCATTCATGAGGTCAGGTGCTGATGTTGGATTTATCCCAAAAGTATTCAGTAGGGTTGAGGTCAGGCCTCTGTGCAAGCCACTCCAATTCCTCCACACCAAACTCATCAAACCATGTCTCTATGGAGCTGGCTTTATGCACAGTGACAAGGTCATGCTGGAAAAGAAAAGTGCCTTTCTCAAAGTGTTACCACAAGTTTGGAAGCACACAGTTGTCTTAAATATCTTTGTATGCTGTAGCATTAACATTACCCTTCACTGGAAAAACTTGAACCCCTTAAAAGAGAAGTATGTTTCGGTTTTTTGTTTTTTTTTTCCCCTCCAAATTATACTTGCCTATGTGGATGCAGCATCGGTCTGATGCTGCATCTGTCCCTCACCAACTCTAAGTGTGAAAACTCAGCAATTACATGATTGCTGAGTTTCACTGCCGCTGTGAGCAGAGAGCGGTGACTGTCAGTCAGCAAAATGAAAAAGCGAGGTCAGTGCATGCTGAAGTGCGCACAAGTCGCCAGCTGTTTCAGAGTCAATGGCTAAAGACCTCCAAGCTTGGTTTGGCCTTCAGATTAGCAAAACAGTGCATAGAGAGCTTCATGGAATGGGTTTCCATGGCGGAGCAGCTGCATCCAAGCCTTGCATCACCAAGTGTAAAGCACGCCGCCACTGGACCC